ATGTGTCTATTGATTGATGATTCACTGGAATGCCAAGCTTCTAAAAATTCTCTAGCATTCTTGTTATTTCCTTTGTCTAATATTTGAACGTTGTCCCAGTCGAATTGATGTCCGTGGTTGTCTGTGTGTAGTGAAATGAGGGAGTGTATATCATGTCTTTTGATGGCTAGCTTATGTTCGTGGATACGAAGACGAAGGGGACGTCCACTTTGGCCAATGTAGTGTTTTTCACAGTTGTTACAGTTTATTTTGTAGATGATGTTGGTTTTGTCTTCTTTTGCTGTTGAGTCTTTTGGTTGACATAGAATTGAGTGCAGCGACTTTGTTGGGTTGTGTACGACGTCAATTCCTAAAGGTTTGAAGAGTCTTTTAGTGATTTCTGAGATATCCTTTATATATGGTAAGGCGATTTTCTTTGTATTTTCCTTGGTGGCTTTTGTTTTGGTAGGTTGGCTTGGGGGTAAATGTCTCTTGATGAAATTCCGGGGATATCCATTCTTTTGGAAGACGTCCATGAGATACTTTTCTTCAATTTTTCTTAAGGTGGGAGTGATGCAGTGGGTCCTTGCTCTCTTGAATAGTGTTTGTATGCAGTTCCTTTTGTGTGCTATTGGTTGTTGCTGTTGTAATTCAAAACAGTATTTGGTCTGGTGAGTTGATTTCCTAAAATAAACTTGAGATTTCTAATTCTCCTGTGTTGTTCAAAGCCTAGACTAAGACAGAGACATCCAAATAGATGAACAAGAAATAATGGTATCCTTCGACGTGACAGCATTATATACCTCTATCGGACAAAAACTAGCAAAAGAAACCATGGAGCAATTACTTAGCAACGACGAACAACTTCCACAACAATCAAAAATGCAACACACAAGCTGGATGGAATGCATAAATCTATGCCTAACAACATACTTCCAATTCAACGGCCAAATATATGAACAAGTCAAAGGAACACCCATGGGATCGCCAATATCAGGTTTGATTGCAGAAGCAGTGATGCAAAGACTCGAAAACATAATTCTACCAAAGATCAAACCCAAGATTTGGATACGCTACGTCGACGACACATTTGTAATAATCAAAAGAAACGAATTAGACAAAACTCACAACTTAATAAACAACGTCTTCAACGACATCAAATTCACAAGAGAAGAGGAATCCGAGAACAAAATACCATTTTTGGACGTCTTAGTCAGGCGAACAACTACAGGAGAATTAGAAACTCAAGTTTATAGGAAATCAACTCACACAGACCAAATACTGAATTACAACAGCAACAACCCAATAGCACACAAAAGGAACTGCATACAAACACTATTCAAGAGAGCAAGGACTCACTGCAGCACTCCCACCTTAAGAAAAATTGAAGAAAAGTATCTCATGGACGTCTTCCAAAAGAATGGATATCCCCGGAATTTCATCAAGAGACATATACCCCCAAGCCAACCTACCAAAACAAAAGCCACCAAGGAAAACACAAAGAAAATCGCCTTACCATATATAAAGGATATCTCAGAAATCACTAAAAGACTCTTCAAACCTTTAGGAATTGACGTCGTACACAAACCAACAAAGTCGCTGCACTCAATTCTATGTCAACCAAAAGACTCAACAGCAAAAGAAGACAAAACCAACATCATCTACAAAATAAACTGTAACAACTGTGAAAAACACTACATTGGCCAAAGTGGACGTCCCCTTCGTCTTCGTATCCACGAACATAAGCTAGCCGTCAAAAGACATGATATACACTCCCTCATTTCACTACACACAGACAACCACGGACATCAATTCGACTGGGACAACGTTCAAATATTAGACAAAGGAAATAACAAGAATGCTAGAGAATTTTTAGAAGCTTGGCATTCCAGTGAATCATCAATCAATAGACACATCGAGATAGACAAAATTTATCAACCAATAAGAAAGAAACTTCACACACGATTGGCCAAAGTTCAAGTCACAGAAACAATCAGTTCCAACACAAGTAACCTAGAAGGTGTGAAAACATACATAAACAACCAATCACGTCCAAGGTCACCAGGAGGAATGATTAATAAACTCGTGGAGAAACCTAAAAGCTCACTTCAATTTGAAGTATGCGCTGAAGATGTCACCCAGTAAGGTGATGAAAGCTTCGCAAACTAACTATCCAGCTCAGAGAACAAAACCACATCAAAAAAACCAACATTTATTCGTTTTCTATATGTTACGTTTATTTACGTTTCCATTTCTACTGATTCTGTCTCTCTCTACATTTCGTTTCTCAGTGGTATTCGTTACAATTGATCTCATTTGAGAAAGATACCTATCAAATAGAGTATGATTATATTTCCATTGTTTACACACATTGATATGTTTTTTTTGTTTTGGCTAACATTTCGAACAAAATCGCCTCCTCTGTTCATACCAACTTTTGGAATTGTTTTGCATTTTAATTAACATATTTATGATTTGCACCTATAGATCTAGTTCTTTTTTTATTCATTTTTGCTTATTCATAATTATATTATCAAAAACAAAAAAACTATCGCTGTGTGTAAACCACTGAAATATATTTACGCTTTATTTGATCTATTCCACAATGCTCAAACTTTTTGCTGGCATAGATGCCTATCGTTTTGGCAGGAGTGCGTACGACAGAAGAGCTTTTCTATCACCCTGTACTCAACAAAGTTGCACCTCATGCACACTAACTATATCATAGCTAATGTTATCACTGAAATGATTTTAAGTTTCAGTTACTATTTTAATAAATATTCAATTTTAGAACAATACATATAAGCGAACAATTTTCTTTGCAATTAGATTTTCTTCAGACTTTACCCTAATTTACATAGAATTATTTATGAAAATTGTAATCTAAGATTATTTAGAGTAGTTAAAGGGACCCAATGCTCCAGCAGACCAATCATGATTGTTAAAACGAAAGATAAGCTATCTAGCTGTAACACTTTTATGTGTATCTAAAAATTTACCTGCTCCTGTGGAGAAAGTTATATATCGTGAACAACTAGACAGTTCAAAAAACGTATTATTGAGCATCCTCCTTCATGGTTCAAAAAAAGCCGAATAAAATCTTCAAGAAGTTCTATGTTGGTTCGTTTGATTGACAGCAGTCACCAAGTGGACAAAAGAAGTACCTTCAAAGTTATCTATCGGATTCCATCGAATTCGAACCGGTTCTTATACACATGGCAAAGCCTTTTGTGTTTGAATGACATTTATTAAAACTGTTATAACCTGTCCACTTGACATTAAGTATTACGAAACTTTTAGAATTTGACCTAATTTATTTATTTATAGAATTGTCTGCACATACGTATATTACCAGCTTCGTTATTCTTAACTCCACGGGCATAAACCTTATTATCATTAGTTTGTTGTCATTATAGCCACGGTAACTACTGACGTTCAGAAGATTAACAACATCATTATTATCAATAATATTTAATTCAAAAACTCACAGACATTGGTAAAAATTATTTCTTATATATTTATGCAAATAAGAGTAAATGTTTAACATCCAAATGAAAAGAATATTTTCCACTTATATTTCTTGTTCTAATATTCATAACAGAAATATATAATTATTGAAATACTTACCTAAAGTCGGTAAGGAGAATCTTCTGTTATGAAAAGCTGCCAGAATGATGACAACGTCCTTCGAGTTTCTTATTTTCTTAGTCACTGTACTTTCAATAGGAAGAATGGTCATTTCGAGAGGCTGATCAGTTGGTCCTTCGAACATGATCATGCTATCTGTGGAATAACATGGAGAGCCTTCTAAAGTCCATTTCATCAACTGATTTTTGTTTGACACTGATTCGAATTCAACTTTTTCAATTCTCGGAACTGAAAAGGAGAAGATAATTGTGAACATTCAAAAAGTGACAGGGTACACGGTGGATATTAGTATTGTCATTGGTGATTGAAGAAGAACAGGAGAAGAAAGTTTAGATGAATCACGACGCTTTTACCACTTCTAAAGTATTGAAATATCAGTCGGGACTTTAGGCTTTCTAAAGTCGATAATTTTCAGTCATCTATTTCACTTGTACAAAAATAAGTTTCGTCCCGGTTTCTTTTGTTCAGAAGCCTCATAATTAATTCGGAAGAAGAATAATTACGGTTAACAACTGTTTTCAATGAACTCTTCTTCAGGTTGTTGAATGAAAAATCCACTCACTTATCATGCAATACTGTCAGTAATGAGTAACTGGAATAATTCAGAAAATGTTTTGAGTGGAACAAGCACAACGCGGATTGATGGTAGTGGTCATTGTGACCTGATTACCACATGGAATATGTATAATCGATAGGACTATGAGATAGAATGAGATGGAGTAATGCAGTGATGTGAGTGTTTAAATAGCCAACAAACGTGCAGTCCTCAAAGGTGATTGTAGTCGGTGATGTGGGAGACAATTCGAATACTACAGGCAAATAGACCAACAAATGCGATAAACTACACAATAATAATGATGATAAAAAATAACGACGAACTGGTGTCTGCTCAAACATCCTATCAGCACATATATATCAGGCAATACTGAATTAAACCAAGTTGAATGAACACTATTGTGTAAATATAATATCAAGTTTGAAAAACATTGCGTAAACCTAAGTTGATACACCTAATGAGATCGTTTGGCAGTAAAAGGTCTTAAATAGATGTCTGTAAATGAAAGAAAGGAAAATGTGTGGGACTGGAATTTAAAATGCGAATGTTTTCGGATGATTTGTTGATCTTACTGTAGGTCATGGTAAACACAGCGGTAGGACATACTTCCTCTGTATACAGCCATTAGGTCTTCTAGTACTGATTACGTCTCTTCTGGTTTTTCTAAATGTCCAGTATCGACCAGTTGCCCATAGGCTACACCATTTACTCATTTAGCTTCCTCCTTGGTTGCTCATGCAGAAACATAGTTTACCACTTCGTCTCAACTATACACTGTTGTATGTTCACGAATGTTTGCAGCACAAAATCTACTCACCTCGTTTGTATTTTAGACTCCTCCTTGCCTCCTCATAGTAACCAAAGAAGCCTGAGGACTTTGCAAGTATATTATATATTTCATCTACGCATGATCGCCCAATTACATTGAATTCTGATGTATAAACCAAGGGAAGATCCAAAGTATCATCGAAGGCCCAGTCTTTTTCTCGTTCCAAAGTCAGTCTTGAAATGCCTGTTTTACCAAATCGACTCCAACCGAATACTAGGGAGTCTGTGTTTTCTTGAAGAAGCCAGAATGTTCTAATCATCCCTGAAATAAACAATTTCACAAGAGAGTGTTAGTGAAGATCAATAATTACAACTTTGGAGTAGAATGCTGTATTCACAGTTGTTAGAATCACTCACATCTATTAGCCTCAAATAAAGTCGTGATGATTTCAAAAGTTAATTAAATTACAAGTTAAAAGATTCCAATAAAAAGGCAGAAACCTTCGCAGGCTTCCATAGTTACTGGAACCTAGTGGTGAACTTCACCGTTTAAAAATACCCATTGAGTCATATTAAGGAGAAGGTGTTCAGTGAAGAGTTCTTCTCTGATATTTAGTTACAAGATGTCTGCTTTGTTTTACTAATCTGGTATATTTCGCTGTATGTCTATGGATCGTTATTGCATTATAACTCCACCCATCGGTGTTATACGGTGCCGAGGACCTCAACCAGGAAGTCTAAATTTTCCTTCGTCACTAGCTTAAACTAACTGTTCTGGATTTCAATTACGGATGCCCTGTTTTGGTTTGATCACCACTGGCTCTTTTCTAATCTGACCCTACATCGGCTAACATTGCTCATTGTTGAGGAAAGCGATGGCTAGGCATGCGTAACACATGTCTTAACCATCTCAGTCGATGTAACTTCACAGCCTCGTCTATTGATTTCCCCTCACGCCTTCCTAGCACTCGACATCTAACCTTAATGTTGCTCACCCTATTATACCACTTCACAAGAGAGATTGAACACAGACACCTATGATCATAGACAGCTAATCTTTTCATGTCTTCTACTCTCGATGGTCAGTTCTCAAAGCCGTAAAGGAAGACGGAGCGGACTGATGAGCATTACACAGATCCTTTGGTCAATAGTCAGATATCACGTAGACTCCAGAGAGGGCCTGGGTTTGGATAGTGAGCTCTGCATACGGCCGTCATTCCTGTCTTCACACGAGCAGGTGAATCGGTAGGTGCAAATCGCTATACAAACATGACTCTGAATCTTTTTGTGTTTAATTCTATTCAATTCTACCCTTCAAATGTATTGCCTCACTCAATCTACTTATTTTATTTCATTTCAGTTTCTACCCAATTAACGCTTTCTACGATGCCCAAATGGTTATCTGAAGTTTACAGATTTGATGACAAATCTTTGTGGATATACCTTTCGTTGCTTAGAAAGTTCAGCATACATATGCGATTATACAGCTTGAGGACAACATGGTGGAAAATATTTAATCCTCGCTGAACGCCTTTTCTTCTATTTACTACTTAGAAAACACGGTCAGTTTGGAGAGCGGAACCACTTATCTGGAAACAGTATAGTTCTGTCAAAATTATCATTCAAACAAAATGTAAAATGAAAAGGACTATAATCGAGATTCGTTTAGCCAGATTTGTCAATCCATTCCCACACAATGATCAATTCAGCTGTCAATTTTCAAGTGGTGAGTATTCACGTGTGGCTTGAGCGTACTCAAGCAGCCCAACACTGCTACAGATTGTGACGCAATGTGTTGTGTTATTTGACATTTAGAGAAATCAGTTCGCACTAGTATCTGGAGTAAACGTAGTGTATACCAAGTCTGGCAATGCAACCTGTAAACGAGTGCATTTCTGTGATACGCTGTGTTTTGAGTGGAACATACAGCGTGAAGCTGGAGCTATGAAGATTCAGTAGCAGTGGTATAATTAACTGCTTGTGTTTGCCAGCCCTAAGCCGAAGCTCTCCTGTTTAACGGGCGCACCACAGAGTGATTCAGGTTTAGTAATGCATGATTAGTCAACGTTCTACCAGTGAACCATCGACGCAAGATTGGTTGCTGGGATTCCGTTTATGCACAAAGCCTAGTATTTGTGTTCCGTGTCAACTAACTTCTTCTAGTCATAAAATGAACCAGTAATATCAAATCAGGTTGCATTTATTGTTACATGAAACAACACCAGGTAAGTATGCTCTAGTTTTATCACAAACACCTTACCAAATAATGAACAAACCAATGCATTTTCCAAAATCATAATACGCTCAAATTATGCCTACTTTAATGACAAATATCAAAATACAGAAGACTTACCTCTTTCAGCCGTGGCTTCAAGATATGCGGGCCAATAACTTTTAACTTCCTGTTGTTGCAGTAAGTGACTAATAAAGCAGACAAAATCAACGCTTGAAAATGTTCGCAGTGACTAACAAGTTTCTAATATTTATCGGAAATAAATCTTGAAATATCACCACATAGCATACAGTATAATGGATCATATGCAACTGGATATCAACATAGAACAAGTCGGTCAGAAGTCGAATTTCCTTGTGGTCCATTCTCAAAAATGTTCTCATCGCGAAATTCGTCAATATCATGTGTCTCTCCCTTGGCTTTAGTGTAATTTATACCCTATTATTCAAGTTCACAACATGGGTTTGAAATCTTTAGCAAGTCGAATCTCACTCTTTGGATAAACATCATGTTTCATTGAAGAATTGAGCTTCATCAGCCTGTGATGCACTCACAGATCTTATTACTATTTTTAAATTCATTCCTTCTCAATCCCCGTGGAGCATATGACCTCAAGTTAGAGCTTCAGTAGTAGCAGGTTTCTAACATTATGAGGTTGCTAGTATCACGCTCAACCTTCCTTCTTTACCAGGTTTACCACTGGCCAAACAAGGTTTGGAAGTATGTCGACCAGGAGGCGAACATCATACTGCAATTGGCAAATTCAGGCAAAATACCACATCTGGATGCAAAGGTTACAGTCGATTGTCTGCCACGATCCAACATTAACAACAATGAGGCGCCTGCATTTACACTCAAAGCAGTTTATCAAAGTATGCAGTGAAGGTTAATGAATATTCCTAACTAGTACTTATGTTTTTCACCATAATAAACTTACAAACTCGAATATCTGCCCAAGGACAATCGTAAGCTTAGTATAATACTTGTAAACTGGGCTCAATCCGTGATAGAAGCATCCTCTTAGCTACTGTCTATTTCAAAACCCTGTTTTTACTGTGAGAATGAAATTTAAAATAAACAATCAAAACATTGCACGAAATTTCACCGGATATGAAAGATAATAGGTACCATTTGAGGTGGACAGGCAGGAACATAGCGGAGAAACGCAAATCTATGAAGCAATACATTTATATATATATGTCTTAATATGTTCTGATTAATTAGGCTTTTTGTTTCAGATTTCACATAATGAAATTTATCGTAAGATGCGTCTTACAGAAAGTCATACTATCATCAGATGTCTGTGAAATGCTACATGATCCGATATTCTTTAATGAATAGCATTTCTTTCAATCGAGTTCACTCAGACAACATATGCATAAACTCAACATCGTATAGTGAATTGTTACTATTCAGACTCCTACACAAAGAAGAATACCACATAAAATGAAAGAAATAAAATAGTTTGCTAACTTGTTGACAGTGAATAGTGAGTATCGCCACAATCAACTTGTATCCAACTATATTTGTGGCATGATAATCTGAGCAGTAAGCAGGCTTAGTCAAAAACCACTGAGATGAAGAAATTAGGAATAGAGTCTTGAAAAGAAGTTAATTTACTTAAAGAGAACATTACACAAACAGATTGTCAGATAATGTAGTATATTCACTGAAATTATAAACTGTAGAATATGCACACACTTCAAATATGATCTGGCGTTGTTATGGTTTACCTCGCTGTGATATAGTTAGTTAATGTCTAGTACCGGTAAGCCAGAAAAAATTTGTTGATAGGGTGTAGTAATTGAAGAACGTTCTGAACAGCTGAGGAAATCCAAAGAAATGGAATTGATACATGTTATTCTTCTCCGAAAGCTATTATTAATATTATTACTGTGCTCTTGGGTTCTGCGTGGAAACATTGACCTTCGACAGCCCATATCCTTTCCACTCCACTGAGTGCAAGCTTTGCATCCGGATCCACAATTGTGCATAAGCTTTCGTTTCCCCTTACAAGGGCATGACATCATCTTCGAGCTCAAGCAGGAGTCGTTACATACTGTTCCAGTTCCCATCATTTACCTGTCTGGTGTGTGAAGACACTCAGCGGTCTACTCAGCGTTTGTTTGATATATATTCGGCAATTGGTTCATGGACAGTTTATGGAGAGTTCCTTGCTAGTTATCCCTCCCAGGCGGCAGTCCGGCTCTTAGCATTCAGAGAAGGCAGGTGCTGGTGAAATCCTGCAGCAGCCTATCGGTAAATGTTATCTATGACGCCGCAAGTGTATATCATATGAAGAATCACTGATTTGATATTAAAGTCGAAGACTGGAATTTCATTTCTCACGCTGAGTGCGGCAGATTTCCATGCTGTTCATAGAATACTAAATGTCTGTCTAATGATTTTAACATTGTAACTTTGAGACACTCACTTGTGCGGTCTGTAGTTAAAACGATGTCTCATTATCGTTTGTATTCTCCCAAAGACGGTTATGGATGCCCGTTGTTGTTACCTGGGTGTTGTCATCACCTCTGCCTTCATTATATTTGCCCAGATTGCTGTCTTTTCTTCTTCTTCCGCCAACTTGTTGGTCTCTACCTTATGTCTCCACGTTTGTCTGACATTATGGCTTTATCATCCGCGTAGTTCACACCTTCTTGTGTCTTCTCGCCAGTCACATGTGTATCAACCTTCTTGCCTCCCACAGTCGTCTGCATGGTCCACTCAGCGAGAAGTAGTGACATCACAGTGATACTTGACAGCCTTGTTTTACTCTTGTAAACACTGTGTCAGGCACTAAGTCACTTGACATACAATATAACCATATAGCTGTTGACCGATACTTCATGAAGATTCAGAGCATTCGGCAGCGTTAAAGTTGTTCCCGAATCACTCGGCGGTCGACGCCATCGACATCCTTTACGAGGTTGATGAAGTTGAGACAGAGATTTGATTGCCATGTAATGGTTTGTCAGCTGATTAGTGGTAGGAGTATCCTGCATATTTGACTGGCTTGGTAAGGACTTTCACCAGCAAGCGATATTTTTCATCTTCAATTTCGGTGAAGAACAAGAAGTTAGCTTTTC